CGAAAGCCCCGGAATCTTTTCGGGCCCAAAAAGCCATTTTTAGTTAATCGGTATTTAAAGACAAAGAGGTATATTCGCCTGAAACTTCTTGTATGAAGAGCACCTCTGTTCGTATTAGGAATATATATATGAATGAAACAGCTCTGTAGTCAAAAGGTTTGAGATTTGCTACGGCTTTCCGGGTGCGAAAACTTTTCGGGACCTTCAAGAAACGGGCCCCTGTCCCGAAAAGCGAACACGCGATAGAAATCTCGAGCTCATAATCGCAATTGTTTAGTGGAATTTCAATTTTGGATAATTCTTCCGCTTCTGGTGTTCATTTATTTTCTTAAACAAAGTTATAGTGCGTTAAACTTTTGGACGCAAATTGGCTGAGACATAAAACGCTGATGGCGTCATAAAACTTTCATCGGCTCCTGTTTCGAAAAGCAAAATGACGGCCTGCACAGATGGAGTGTTTAGAGATGCTTGTGATAAATCTCTAGCCTGCGAGCACCTCACTTTTTGGGCCACCAGACACCTGTCGGATCGGTGCTCTCGCCCACTCGCTCTTTCCTCGTGCGTTTCATTAAAATGAGAGACTTTTTGCGGGAGGNGGGCCCAAAAAGCCATTTTTAGTTAATCGGTATTTAAAGACAAAGAGGTGTATTCGCCTGAAACTTCTTGTATGAAGAGAACCTCTGTTCGTAATAAGAATATATGAATAAAACAGCTCTGTAGTCAAAAGGTTTGAGATTTTGCTGCGGCTTTCCGGGTGCGAAAACTTTTCGGGACCTTCGAGAAACGGGCCCCTGTTCCGAAAAGCGAACTCGCGATGGAAATCTCGAGCTCATAATCGTAATTGTGTAGTAGAATTTCAATTTTGGATAATTCTCCTGATTCTGGTGTTCATTTATTTTCTTAAACGAAGTTATAGTGCGTCAAACTTTTAGACGCAAATTGGCTGAGACATAAAACGCTGATGACGTCATAAAACTTTCATCGGCTCCTGTTTCGAAAAGCAAAATGACGGCCCGCAAAGATGGAGTGTTTAGATATACTTGTGATAAATCTCTAGCCTGCGAGCACCTCACTTTTTGGGCCACCAGACTCCTGTCGGATCGGTGCTCTCGCCCACTCGCTCTTTCCTCGTGCGTTTCATTAAAATGAGAGACTTTTTGCGGGAGGTGCTGCAAAATATCAGAATATCATAATTTTCCTTTTAGTTTGAACGTTGCTCATCGCTACGCGATGGCCTCTCTGCTAGAGGAGCGGTTGCATAAAATTACACTTCACAAAATATCTATGAGGGATCACGTGACCAGCCGATCCTAGGGTCTTTTTCCGCTCCTCTGAATTTCTAAGGAAAAGACCTTGGGGATGACGTTCTTTTTTTTACCCTATTTAGCCTGATCGTTATGCGTTGTTCAGTACCCCACCCGTTCCACCTGCACTCATCCATTTAAAAAGCAATAAAAATTTATATGATAATTCAAAGCATTCAGAGTTGATTTCTTTAGTGTTATTCACATGTAGATTATGACGTCGTACAATGCCTAAATGATTCAAAATTCAAAATGTCCGCCATCTTAGATTTATCATCTTGGATTTTAAAAAAGAATCGGAACTATCAGATCAGCTCCAAATTGATTTGTAAAAGCTCAGAGTAAATATAACAATTCAAGAAATTTAAAGTAAAATCTTTATAAAATCCAAATATGACAGGTATTTGAACTGTTAGAACGACCTCCAAATTTCAGTGCAACACTGCTTGAAATGTTCATGTTACCTAAACATTACACGGTCAGTCTAATCCATTCCCGAGGTTGGCCACCAAGTAGATCTTC